TGCTCCTTCCTTTAGAACCCAAGGGGAGATTCCATCTGGGCCTATAGCCTTCGTCACGTCCAACTCTAGTAAACACTTCCTTACTTCCCCACTGGTAATCTCAAACTCTTCCAGTGGTTCCTGGTTAGCTATTCCCTCACTTACCTCTGGAATTTCTCCTTGTTCTAAGGTGAAGACCTCCTGGAATTTCTTATTCAATTCCTCACACACTTCCTTGTCATTTGTAGTGAATCCTTCCGCCCCTATCCTTAATCTCATAACCTGTTCCTTTACTGTTGTTTTTCTCCTAATGTGGCTATGCAACAATTTAGGCTGAGTCTTTGCCTTGCTTGCGATGTCATTTTCGTATTGTCTTTCTGCCTCTCTTCTCATCCTGACATATTCATTCCTGGCATTCTGGTATCTTTCTCTGCTCTCCAGTGTCCTGTTATTCCTATAGTTTCTCCATGCCCTTTTACTTTGCTGCTTAGCTAGCCTACATCTTTGATTAAACCATGGGTTTCTCATCTTCATTTCTCTGTTTTCCTTTTGGACTGGGACAAACTTGTTTGCTGCGTCCTTGCACTTCTGCGTGATGTAATCCATCATATCTTGGGCCGTCTTTCCCCTGAGCTCTGTTTCCCATGCTATATCTGTTAGGAATTTTCTTATCCCCTCATAGTTTCCCTTTCGGTATGCTAACCTTTTGGTTTCGGTATCCCTCCTCGAGTTCAATAACCCTTCTTCAATCAAGTACTCAAACACCAGTACACTGTGGTCGCTCATTCCTACTGGGTCCTCAAAACCGATTTCTCTTATGTCGGAGTCAGTCGGAGTCGTGTGTTGCATGTTGTGTGTGTACACTTGTATGTGTGTTGCATGTTGTGTGTGTACACTTGTATGTGTGTTGCATGTTGTGTGTGTACACTTGTATGTGTGTTGCATGTTGTGTGTGTACACTTGTATGTGTGTTGCATGTTGTGTGTGTACACTTGTATGTGTGTTGCATGTTGTGTGTGTACACTTGTATGTGTGTTGCATGTTGTGTGTGTACACTTGTATGTGTGTTGCATGTTGTGTGTGTACACTTGTATGTGTGTTGCATGTTGTGTGTGTACACTTGTATGTGTGTTGCATGTTGTGTGTGTACACTTGTATGTGTGTTGCATGTTGTGTGTGTACACTTGTATGTGTGTTGCATGTTGTGTGTGTACACTTGTATGTGTGTTGCATGTTGTGTGTGTACACTTGTATGTGTGTTGCATGTTGTGTGTGTACACTTGTATGTGTGTTGCATGTTGTGTGTGTACACTTGTATGTGTGTTGCATGTTGTGTGTGTACACTTGTATGTGTGTTGCATGTTGTGTGTGTACACTTGTATGTGTGTTGCATGTTGTGTGTGTACACTTGTATGTGTGTTGCATGTTGTGTGTGTACACTTGTATGTGTGTTGCATGTTGTGTGTGTACACTGGTATGTGTGTTGCATGTTGTGTGTGTACACTTGTACGTGTGTTGCATGTTGTGTGTGTACACTTGTATGTGTGTTCCATGTTGTGTGTGTACACTTGTATGTGTGTTGCATGTTGTGTGTGTACACTAGTATGTGTGTTCCATGTTGTGTGTGTACACTTGTATGTGTGTTGCATGTTGTGTGTGTACACTTGTATGTGTGTTGCATGTGTGTGTGTACACTTGTATGTGTGTTGCATGTTGTGTGTGTACACTTGTATGTGTGTTGCATGTTGTGTGTGTACACTTGTATGTGTGTTGCATGTTGTGTGTGTACACTTGTACGTGTGTTGCATGTTGTGTGTGTACACTTGTATGTGTGTTCCATGTAATATGTGTACACTTGTATGTTGTGTTGCATGTGTGTGTAATGTGTGTACACTGTGTATGTGTGTGTGTACACATGTGTGTTGTGTGTGTACACACTTGTATGTACGTGTTGCATGTTGTGTGTGTACTTGTACTGTGTATGTGTGTTGCATGTTGTGTGTGTACACTTGTACTTGTATGTGTTGCATGTTGTGTGTGTACACTTGTATGTGTGTTGCATGTTGTGTGTGTACACTAGTATGTGTGTTGCATGTTGTGTGTGTACACTAGTATGTGTATTGCATGTTGTGTGTGTACACTTGTATGTGTGTTGCATGTTGTGTGTGTACACTAGTATGTGTGTTGCATGTTGTGTGTGTACACTAGTATGTGTGTTGCATGTTGTGTGTGTACACTAGTATGTGTGTTGCATGTTGTGTGTGTACACTTGTATGTGTGTTGCATGTTGTGTGTGTACACTTGTATGTGTGTTGCATGTTGTGTGTGTACACTAGTATGTGTGTTGCATGTTGTGTGTGTACACTAGTATGTGTATTGCATGTTGTGTGTGTACACTAGTATGTGTATTGCATGTTGTGTGTGTACACTAGTATGTGTATTGCATGTTGTGTGTGTACACTTGTATGTGTGTTGCATGTTGTGTGTGTACACTTGTATGTGTGTTGCATGTTGTGTAGTGATGACCCAAGGGAGAAGCAAGTTTCAGTACTCGTGCATTAATGTTTGCTTTAGTCACTATAAGATATATTTTAGTTATAGTTCTATATAAAGTGTGTTTATATACAAAAAATAAAAAAACTCTTAATTTACCTGTTTAACGAGAAAATCCACAGGAGCTGTAACGTGGATTCGAACCTATGCGCTGGGTATTCCCAGATGCACAACTACGCCACAACATGGTCAAAAGAATTGCAACCTGGGGTGACTACTGCACCCTCGGGGATTCCCGAGGCTTCCACTGAAGCCAAACTAAGGTTGCAGTTCTTTTAACCATGTCGTGACGTAGTCGTTTGGAGCGTGCATTTGGGAATACCAAGCGCATAGGTTCGAATCCTCATGACGGCTCCTGTGGATTTTATCATTGATATACTACGATAATATGATTTCTCTGTATACCTGTTTAACTACTAGGTGAACAGCGGCATCGTGTGAAAGGGAGCTTGCCCAACCGTTTCCATCCGGCCCGGGACAATTAGAAATAATTACTGTGATTTCACTCCTTTTTTACCATACAAATTCATACTATTTTCGTAATGTAAAGGTAGCTATTTAATGATTATATTTTGTGTGTATACGGCCCAAGCTGTTCTGTCCAGGAGAGTTACCTGGAGGTGTGTGTGGAGAGTTACCTGGAGGTGTGTGTGGAGAGTTACCTGGAGGTGTGTGTGGAGAGTTACCTGGAGGTGTGTGTGGAGAGTTACCTACAGGTGTGTGTAGAGAGTTACCTGGAGGTCTGTGTGGAGAGTTACCTGCAGGTGTGTGTAGAGAGTTACCTGGAGGTCTGTGTGGAGAGTTACCTGCAGGTCTGTGTGGAGAGTTACCTGCAGGTCTGTGACGTGGAGAGTTACCTGGAGGTGTGTGTGGAGAGTTACCTGGAGGTGTGTGTGGAGAGTTACCTGGAGGTGTGTGTGGAGAGTTACCTGGAGGTGTGTGTGGAGAGTTACCTGGAGGTGTGTGTGGAGAGTTACCTACAGGTGTGTGTAGAGAGTTACCTGCAGGTCTGTGTGGAGAGTTACCTGCAGGTGTGTGTGGAGAGTTACCTGCAGGTCTGTGTGGAGAGTTACCTGGAGGTGTGTGTGGAGAGTTACCTGCAGGTGTGTGTGGAGAGTTACCTGCAGGTGTGTGTGGAGAGTTACCTGCAGGTGTGTGTGGAGAGTTACCTGGAGGTGTGTGTGGAGAGTTACCTGCAGGTGTGTGTGGAGAGTTACCTGCAGGTGTGTGTGGAGAGTTACCTGGAGGTGTGTGTGGAGAGTTACCTGCAGGTGTGTGTGGAGAGTTACCTGCAGGTGTGTGTGGAGAGTTACCTGCAGGTCTGTGTGGAGAGTTACCTGCAGGTGTGTGTGGAGAGTTACCTGCAGGTGTGTGTGGAGAGTTACCTGCAGGTGTGTGTGGAGAGTTACCTGCAGGTGTGTGTGGAGAGTTACCTGGAGGTGTGTGTGGAGCACCTGGTGGAGTTACCTGCAGGTGTGTGTGGAGAGTTACCTGGAGGTGTGTGTAGAGAGTTACCTGGAGGTGTGTGTGGAGAGTTACCTGCAGGTGTGTGTGGAGAGTTACCTGCAGGTCTGTGTGGAGAGTTACCTGCAGGTGTGTGTGGAGAGTTACCTGCAGGTCTGTGTGGAGAGTTACCTGCAGGTGTGTGTGGAGAGTTACCTCACAAACTATGAACAACTTTGCGTCTTGTGAAGCTCGTGGTGTATAGGGCAAAGGCTCAGATTTTTTTCTTATGGAATGACAAAACTTTCGTTATATTATATACGATTTAAATTTTTTAAATTTGAGTTAAAACTAAGAAATTTGATCAAATCAAACCTAACCAACTAATCTATCCTATCCAATCCTATGTCCACTATATTTTTTCCTATACTAGGTTTCCCACTCAGGGGGCCTGACAGCTGAGTGGACAGCGCTTCGGATTCGTAGTCCTGAGGTTCCGGGTTCGATCCCCGGTGGAGGCGGAAACAAATTAGTAGAGTTTCTTTCACCCCTGAAACCCCTGTTCACCTAGCGGTAAATAGGTACCAGGGAGTTAGACAGCTGCTACGGTCTGCTTCCTGTGGTGTATGTAACAAAAAGGAGGCCTGCTCGAACCTGTACACCAGTTGATTGACAGTTGAGAGGCGGGACTAAAGAGCCAGAGCTCAACCCGATGAGCAGACTGAGATGGAAGGGAAGGGAATTATCAAGGGAAAGCGCCAAGCCATTACGACTATATAGCACTTGGAAGGGGTCAGGATAAGGATTTGGGATGGGACGGGAGGAAAGGAATGGTGCCCAACCACTTGGACGGTCGGGGATTGAACGCCGACCTGCATGAAGCGAGACCGTCGCTCTACCGTCCAGCCCAAGTGGTTGGGTAGTAGGCTCAGGAATCTATACACCAGTTGATTGACGGTTGAGAGGCCGGACCCAAGAGCCAGAGTTCAACCCGGTGAGCAGAGGGGAGAGATGGAGAGACTTACCGACGACCTGGACGTAGCCGACCTGGTTGATGGCGGGCTCCATGTTGACCTGGCAGACGTAGTAGCCGGTGTCGTCCGGCTCCACCTGGAGGATGTGTAGGGTCCAGGTGGTGGGGTCCTCCCGCGTCACACGGAACCTGGGGATGAGCGTGATGGTCGTCTCGTCTATGGTCAGCAACATCACCCGGTTCAGGTGCATCCACGTCACCTGTTGGAGCAACACCAGGGGTCAGCACTAGGGGTCAGCACTAGGGGTTAGCACTAGGGGTCAGCACTAGGGGTCAGCACTAGGGGTCACACTAGGGGTCAGCACTAGGGGTCAGCACTAGGGGTTAGCACTAGGGGTCAGCACTAGGGGTCAGCACTAGGGGTCAGCACCAGGGGTCAGCAGCAGGGGTCAGCAGCAGGAGTCACACCAGGGGTCAGCACTAGGGGTCAGCACTAGGGGTCAGCACTAGGGGTCAGCACCAGGGGTCAGCAGCAGGGGTCAGCAGCAGGAGTCACACCAGGGGTCAGCACCCTGGGCCACCGTGGGCCACCCTGGGCCACCGTGGACCACCGTGGGCCACCATGGGCCACCCTGGGCCACCGTGGGCCACCATGGGCCACCATGGGCCACCATGGGCCACCGTGGGCCAAGACTGAAGGACAGCTAGGGTGCCACACAGTTATGGAGGGGAAGGGGGGGGGATCATACTTGGTGTATAGTTATTCGTGAGAAACTAAATTACAAATGTTTATTGTTTTTGTCTGTTTATGTTCATCAAGTTCACCAGCTGTTGTGTGTATGACAGTGTCACCAGCTGTTGTGTGTATGACAGTGTCACCAGCTGTTGTATGACAGTGTCACCAGCTGTTGTGTGTATGACAGTGTCACCAGCTGTTGTGTGTATGACAGTGTCACCAGCTGTTGTGTGACAGTGTCACCAGCTGTTGTGTGTATGACAGTGTCACCAGCTGTTGTGTGACAGTGTCACCAGCTGTTGTGTGTATGACAGTGTCACCAGCTGTTGTATGACAGTGTCACCAGCTGTTGTGTGACAGTGTCACCAGCTGTTGTGTGACAGTGTCACCAGCTGTTGTGTGACAGTGTCACCAGTGTCACGAACTGTGGACTATCCAGCTGGGCCGAACTGTGAACCTCCAGTTGGGCACGAACCGAGGGTGTTGAACTCACACTACTTGATTGTGAGTTGATGACTTGGCTCACTCCACAAGGATCCCAAGTCAACCCCCATGTCCTGCCCCCATGTAGCCCCCCATGCCCTGCCCCCATGTCCACCCCCCATGTCGTCCCCCATATCGTGCCCCCATGTCCACCCCCATGTCCACTCCCCATGTCGTCCCCATGCCCGGCCCCCATGCCCGGCCCCCATGTCCACCCCCATACCCTGCCTCCATGTCCACCCCCATGCCTGGCCCCCATGTCCACCCCCATGTCCACCCCTCTGCCCGGCCCCCATGTCCACCCCCCATGTACGTGCATGAGCGTGTCCTCGTGCATGTCCCCCCACCATACACTGGTGTACAGCTAAACAAATAACACAGCAGAAAAAGGCTGAGCCTCGCTACAAATTGCTTCAGCGCACAACTGCTGCCGATATTAAACAAGGTGAGTCAAAATCATTAGTTTGTGTCCTGGCCATAAGCCTATAAATTTCCACCTAACTATATTTTACACATAGATAAATGTTGGGTGAGAGAAGCTACGATAAACTACTCCTGTCTGCTTCGCTCCGTGCAGCACGGGAGAGTTATCACAGTCAGGCAAGCTTGCTTTGTTTGGGTACGTAATATGTGTCTTTATGTGTTGCTGCATGTGTCTGCAAGTGTGTGTTTCTTTATGTGTTGCTACATGTGTCCGCTAGTGTGTTTCTTCGTGTGTTGCTGCATGTGTCCGCAAGTGTGTTTCTTTATGTGTTGCTACATGTGTCCGCAAGTGTGTTTCTTTATGTGTTGCTACATGTGTCCGCAAGTGTGTTTCTTTATGTGTTGCTACATGTGTCCGCAAGTGTGTTTCTTCGTGTGTTGCTGCATGTGTCCGCAAGTGTGTTTCTTTATGTGTTGCTGCATGTGTCCGTGAGTGTGTTTCTTTATGTGTTGCTGCATGTGTCCGTGAGTGTGTTTCTTTATGTGTTGCTGCATGTGTCCGTGAGTGTGTTTCTTTATGTGTTGCTGCATGTGTCCGTGAGTGTGTTTCTTTATGTGTTGCTGCATGTGTCCGTGAGTGTGTTTCTTTATGTGTTGCTGCATGTGTCCGTGAGTGTGTTTCTTTATGTGTTGCTGCATGTGTCCGTGAGTGTGTTTCTTTATGTGTTGCTGCATGTGTCCGTGAGTGTGTTTCTTTATGTGTTGCTGCATGTGTCCGTGAGTGTGTTTCTTTATGTGTTGCTGCATGTGTCCGCAAGTGTGTTTCTTTATGTGTTGCTGCATGTGTCCGCAAGTGTGTTTCTTTATGTGTTGCTGCATGTGTCCGCAAGTGTGTTTCTTTATGTGTTGCTGCATGTGTCCGCAAGTGTGTTTCTTTATGTGTTGCTGCATGTGTCCGTGAGTGTGTTTCTTTATGTGTTGCTGCATGTGTCCGTGAGTGTGTTTCTTTATGTGTTGCTGCATGTGTCCGTGAGTGTGTTTCTTTATGTGTTGCTGCATGTGTCCGCAAGTGTGTTTCTTTATGTGTTGCTGCATGTGTCCGCAAGTGTGTTTCTTTATGTGTTGCTGCATGTGTCCGCAAGTGTGTTTCTTTATGTGTTGCTGCATGTGTCCGCAAGTGTGTTTCTTTATGTGTTGCTGCATGTGTCCGCAAGTGTGTTTCTTCGTGTGTTGCTTCTTCATGATTCCAGGGACGAATATTTGCTATATTTCTCATGGTTCTATTCACATGGGAAGGTTGAAAAAGGTGGGTTGCATTTCCCCTTTGTAACTGCACATTAATGACACTATGTAAAAAGACACATCGAACACCGTTTATGTTGGGCAAACGTCAATCTGTGTATTTATGTATTTGTATATGTAGGTTAGACTAGCATTTTAAAAGCACTACAATCACCTTCTGTGGTTGATTGTTCAATAAATCACTGAACTATATGTTTAACAGATCTCTAACCCTGTCCATGCAGGACATAAGGAAATGTATATATGATACCACCTGGATAATTATGTAGATATTTGTGAAGGTCTGAAATCATATTACGGTTTCAGTAATAGTCTACAAGTAAAATGGGAAGTGAACCTCAGTCTTATACAGAGATTATTCTTAAGTTCTATCTTTATTGTATTATAAATCAATGGTTTAAAATATAAAAAAGTTAAGTTGAAAACGTTTTTGGAATTCTCACGTACACTGAAGTAGTTTTCGCATTATTTCACATTAAAATCAATTGTATTATTAACGATGCGGAAAGGGCGTGGGGGCCCTTGTGCTACTCATGATGTACTTGAGTACTGTGACATCTCTTATTGATTTTGCTGCACCTGTTGTTTCTTGTTCTGGTAAAGGAAGACTAAACAAGTTGAAGAAGGTACAAATTGAAGCCTTGAGAGTAATCTTAGGATGCCCAAGATATATTATGATTGAGATAATGAGGATGGAATTGAACCTACAGAGTATTGAGGACAGAAATTCAGAGATAAATGTAGCTTCGCCGATTAGATTAATGAAAGGCGGGAAATTAATTAATCCTCTCACTTATAGTAATAATAATAATAATAATAATAATAATAATAATAATAATAATAATAATAATAATAATAATAATAATAATAATAATAATAATTTATTTGCAAGAAGGTACAATGGGTTGGTGAGATTACATAAGACTGGTAGTTTTACATTCATGCATAAAAATAAAAAAATCATACTTCAAAAGGTAGAAAGAAATGAACAATGGTAAAGTATAATAAGAGAACAAACATGAGAACCTTATGTTCTAATGTTACAAAGTATGATGTCATTCAAGAATGTATTTCTTTACCTAAGAAACAATTAACACCACAAAGGGAAGAATGTAACGTAGACGTAGTAATTTTTCCCCCTACAAAAGAAATAAAGAGTATGTATGAGGTAAGACAACTGAAGGCAACATATGATTGTATACTTATAAAATTACCTAAAGAAAACACTGTACACGTTTATTGTGATGGGTCAGTAGCTAGGGATGGGAAGGCAGGATGTGGAGTCTGGCTCAGGGAGTACACTGACATCGATACCGTATAGATACTGTTATTGGACGTCGCTTAACTGACAATGTCTCCTCATCGTAGGCTTCGTAAGATTCATGTGGGACTATTCCCCCTTCACATGTGGTAACATTATTTAATGAGGCAGTTGATGAGATAGCGAAGACAGCCACGGAAAAATCTCTTGTCGATGTTGTATGTCAAAAACTTTCAAGCAAAGAAAGACAAGATTCAAGATGATCCAAGATGATGAAGAAAAAGTTAAGAGAATGGCAATGGTGGAGAGCAGTAACACTTGAGTATTATGCGGTAATAATCACGAATTCGTCCTTCACTTATGGTAGAGGAAAGTTACATGAAAGGATTCAGTTTACATGAGAATACGTGTAGGATACAGATAGTTCTGGCAATACGGTGTTGATGTCAGTGAAAAAGATAAGGAGTGTATATTATGTAGTATGCCGCACGCCCACACCTTAGGTCACTATGTATTAGACTGTAAATTGCTTGATAACTATAAAAACAAAAAAATGATCTGAATTTACCTGAGGGCCATTAGCACTTAAGGCCCTCGACGAGGACAAGAAGCCGGCGGCTTGTCAAAGGTTCCCCCATTTGTCGTGATGATATTTTCCAGTTGGATTTTAAAATGTAACTGAGTTTTGGCATTTACGGCTTTGGCGGGTAAGTGGTTCCACAGGTTTATAACCCTGTGGGTGAAAAAACATCTCCAGTTTTCAATCCAACATTGTGGCTTGTTGAACCTGAAACCGTTGCTCCTTGTTTGTGTTACATCTGACCTTTTGAAGAAATTGTCCGAATCAACATCCTCCAAATTATTCAGTATTTTAAAAGTTTCAATGAGATCCGCCTTGTCATGTCTTGTTTGCAGTGTCATGTGGCCCTCAACCTATTTGATACGAGAGATGACTTTGTTGCCTGTTGTTGCACTTTCTCCAGAGCAGCTGTGTCCTTCTGAAAGTGAGGTCTCCAAGCTTGGATACAGTAATCCAAATGGGCCGCACC